TTTAGTGGGGTAAAAAATCCAAGATTTAAGAGAAAATAGACCAACTTCCATGATGAATATAAACACAAAAATCCTCAACAAAATTCCGGGCAATCACATCTTCAACAAAATTCTGGCCAATCGAATCCAACAACACATCAAAAAGATCATTCACCTGGCATGCAGGTATGGTTCAACATTCGCAGATTGATCAATGTGATTCATCACACTAACAAACTGAAGAACAAAAACCATATGTTTATCTCAATAGATACAGAGAAAGCATCTGACAAAATACAATACCCTTTCATGATGAAAACCTTAAGCAAACTGTGCATAGAAGGAACATTCCTCAACACAATCAAGGCAATTTATGACAAACCCATGGCCAGCATCTAACTGAATGAAGAAAAGTTGGAATCATTTGCACAGAGATCCAGAGCCAGACAAAGATGCCCATTCTCACCACTGCTATTCAGTATAGTCCTGGAAGTTTTAGGCACAGCCATTAGACAAGAAAAAAAAAAAAATCAAAGGGATTCAGTTTGGGAATGAGGAAGTCAAACTATCCCTATTTGCAGACGCCATGATTCTATATATAGGGGATCCAAAAGACTCCACCAAGAGACTACTGGAACTCATAGAAGAGTTTGGTAAAGTAGCAGGATATAAAATCAAAACACAAAAATTAATAGCCTTTGTATACACAGACAATTCCATGGATGAAAAAAATGGAAAAATCTTGCATGTTCATGGATTGGAAGAACCAATACTATAAAAATGTCCATTCTTCCAAAAACAATGTACAGATTCGATGCGATAACAATCAAAATACCAAAGACATTCTTCTCAGCTCTAGAAAAAATGATGGTGAAATTCCTATGGAAACACAGGAGACCTCGAATAGCTAGAGCAATCTTGTACAACAAACCAAAGCTGGAGGTATCACAATACCAGATTTCAAGACACAAGACATACTACAAGGCAGTGATAATCAAAACATCTGGAACTGGTACAAAAACAGATGGATAGTCCAATGGAACAGAACAGAATCGCCATAAATAAATCCAAGCAACTACAACCAACTTATCTTTGACAGAGGAGCTAAAACCAATCCCTGGAGCAAGGACAGACTCTTCAACAGATGGTGCTGGGAAAACTGGATTTCCACATGCAGAAGAACGAAGCAGGACTCCTACCTTACACCTTAGACGAAAATCCATTCAAAATGGATCAGAGACCTAAATCTATGACCCAACACCATCAAATTATTAGAGAACACTGGGGAAGCCCTGCAAGACACTGACCTAGGCAAAGACTTCTTGGAAAAGACCCCAGAGGCACAGGCAGCCAAAGTCAAAATTAACAAATGAGATTACATCAAATTGAGAAGCTTCTGTTCTGCAAAAGTAACGATCAGCCAAGTGAAGAGGCAACCGACAGAATGGGAGAAATTATTTGCAAACGACCCAGTCTGATAAAGGATTAATAACCAGAATATATAAGGAGATCAAGAAACTCCACAACAACAAAACAGACAACTCAGTTAAGAAATGGACAAAGGACTTAAACAGGCATCCTTCAAAAGAGGAAATCCAAATGGCCAACAGACACATGAAAAAATGTTCGGGATCACTAGCCATCAGGGAAATGCAAATGAAAACCACAATGAGGTTTCACCTCACCCCAGTTAGAATGACTTTCATACAAAAATCAACAAACAACAAATGCTGTCGAGGATGTGGGGAAAAAGGTACCCTAATCCACTGTTGGTGGGAATGTAAATTGGCACAGCCACTGTGGAGGACAGTATGGAGATATCTCAGAAATCTAAATATAGACCTACCAAATGGCCCAGCCATCCCACTCCTGGGAATTTACCGAAGGGAAACAAAATCAGCAAATAAAAGTTATCTGTACCCCCATGCTTATTGTTGCTCAGTTTACAACAGCTAAGACCTAGAATCAACATAAATGCCCATCAACTGAAGACTGGATAAAGAAATTATGGTACATGTACTCTATGGAATAGTACAGAGTGGTAAAAAAGGGAAATCCTGCATTTTGTAACAAAATAGATGAATGCGCAAAACATCATATTTAGTGAGACAACCCACTCACAAAGGGACAAATACCATATGTTCTCCCTGATCTGTGATAACTAATAGAGCACCTAAAAGGAAAGCTGTAGAAGTGAAACTGACACTTTGAGAAGCACTAACTTGAACAGCCCTTGTCTTGACTGTTGAAGAAGAGTTTTTTTTCCTTCATGGAGAATGGGACTGGGAATGGGAGAGGGAGGAGGAGATGGTGTGGGAGGGCAGGTGTGATGGGAAGAATCACTATATTCCTAAAGCTGTACTTACGAAATTTGCACTCAATCGGTTTCTTTGAGAAAAACAAAACAAAAACCCAGATTTAAAGTTGCTCATTTTTACATAGTTGGAATATTCTATTGTTTTTCAAGAACAAAATATTTCATTTGTAGACTGAGGTCTTGGTATACATTTCACAGTTTCTTTTTTTTTTTCTTTTTTGACAGGTAGAGTTATAGACAGTGAAAAAGAGAGACAGCAAGAAAGGTCTTCCTTCTGTCGGTTCACCCCACAAATGGCCACTACAGCCAGCATGCTGCGCTGATCCAAAGCCAGGAGCCAGGTGCTTCCTCCAGGTCTCCCATGGGGTGCAGGGCCCAAGCACTTGGCCCATCCTCCACTGCACTCCCGGGCCCCAGCAGAGAGCTGGACTGGAAGAGGAGCAACTGGGACAGAATCCGGGACCCATATGAGGTGCCAGCGCCGCAAGTGGAGGATTAACCAAGTGAGCCATGGCGCTGGCCTCACCGTTTCGTATTTTTAACTACCAATTTCCTTGGCTGAATCACCATAAATGTTGGAGCAATATTTATAAAATCTACCCCTCTAAACAATAAACTGATTTCAAAAGCTATGTGGCCTTATTAATTAAAAACTATGGCTTTGCTAACCTTAATTAGGATCAGTGAATGCAAATGCGTGGGGCTGGCGTCGCAGCACAGTGGGTGCTCGTGCGTGCCTGTGATGCTGGCATCGCACGCTGTCCCTGCTGCTCTGCTTCTGATCCGGCCACCTGCCTAGTGTACTCAGGAGGGCAGGTGAAGATGGCCCGAGTCCTTGCCCTGCCACCCATGTGGGAGAGTCAGACGGAGTTCCTGGATCCTGGCTGAGCCTGGCCCAGCTTCAGCCATTGTAGCCATCTGGGGAGTGGACCTCCAGATGGAAGGTCTCTTTCTCTCTCTCTGTCTCCCTCTCTGACACTCTGCCTCTCAAGTAAGTAAGTAACTCTTTGGGGGGGAGAATATTATCTTAGGAAAGCCTGTATAACATAGTTAGCTAAACAACTATGACATAGCCAGTATGTAATATCTCCTCTAAGTTGAAAAAGAATTGACACCTTGGGAATGTCAGTCAAAGGGCACAGTTTTACCTACGGCACAATCCACACCTCTGGACACCATCCTAGGCTCTAGCCCCCACCACCATGGCTGGAAGCCAGGTGACCCCATGGCTCAAGCACCGGTGTCAGCTCTACCCCCACCCTAATGGAATTCGCTGCTCCTACTTCCCTGCCTGCCCCCAGCAAAGTTTTAAGAGGACCTGTTCCTGAACACGTGGCTCTCTCTGTCTCTCTCTTATGCTCTCCTGCTCTCTTTTCCTTCTTTGCCTCTTCCCTCTGGTCTGTCAGGTTTCCCCCAATAAACTCTTTCCCTTAAAAAAAAAAAGAATTGGCACCTAAAATTGTTGAGACATGTATGCATATTTTTTATATCAAAGATTATTAGTGATGGTTATAAAACTTTTCTTTAAGAAGAAAATCAGGGGCTGGCCATGTGGCACAGTGGGTTAAAGCCCCAGACTGCAGCACTGACATCCCAAATGGGTGCCAGTTTGTATCCAGGCCGCTCTACTTCCAATCCAGCTCTCTGCTAATGGGCCTGGGAAAGCAGCACAGGATGGCTCAAGTACTTAGGTCCCTGCACTCACACTGGAGACCTGGAAGAAGCTTTTGTTTTTTGGACAGGTAGAGTTAGAGAGAGAGAGAGAGACAGAGAGAAAGGTCTTCCTTTTTCCATTGGTTCACTCCCCGAGTGGCCGCTATGGCCAGCACGTTGCACCAATCCGAAGCCAGGAGCCAGGTGCTTCTGGTCTCCCATGGGGTGCAGGGCCCAAGGACCTGGGCCATCCTCCACTGCACTCCCGGGACACAGCAGAGAGCTGGACTGGAAGAGGGGCAACTGGGACAGAATTGGCCCCCCAACAGGGACTAGAACCCGGTGGGCCGGCGCCGCAGGTGGAGGATTAGCCTAGTGAGCCACGGCGCTGGCCAGGAAGAAGCTTCTTGGCTCCTGGCTTTGGCCTGGCTCAGCTCTGGCCATTGCAGCCATTTGGGAAGTGATCAAGTGGATGGAAAACCTCTCTGCCTCTCACTCTCTCTCTGTAACTCTGCCTTTCAAATAAATAAAATAAATCATAAAACAAAATCAGTACCCACTACACTCTAATACCAGCATGAGTCAAGTTATGTGTATGGTCCTCTACAGTTCACTCGGATTGTTGACATGTTTACATGCCCTGCCTTGCAGTTGAGAGAAAGTGTGAGGTTAAATGTAACGAGTTCTGTGGAAAACAATCTAAAGGTTCGTTTACAAATAATCAAATGTAGGAAATGACATGGTTTCAGACAAAAGAAGCTGAAATACAGGGTGAGGACATTATATGAGAATTGGAACAGCCTTGGCATAGCTAATATCCTTCTCCTATCCTGTAGTTGAAGACACAGAAAATCAAAGAGGTCAAATGATTTTCCCAGGTCTCACAGCTAGTAAACAGTGCTCACATTTCTCCTGCTAGTGTCAAGATTATTAACAATAATGATTTAGCTTATGAGAGTGAAAGAGACAGATAAAGGGCATAGGACAATGACTCTTCTCATGGCCCAGTGCTGATGGATCTGAAGCAAAAGTCAAACCAAGTACCCCTCACCTGGTGATTCTGCAAGGTGCTCCTGTTTCTCTTCTCTATCCTGAAACTGAATTAAATGCGACCACAAAGCTGACTTCCCCTGAAAGTAGAGGGTACACAAAAATAGTCATTTTAGAAATAAGTCAACAACAAACATTTCTGATGATGACAGCCAGTCAGAAGTTTGGTGACCCAATCTCATTCATCCTCAGCTGTGCCAGATTCTGCTTGTCTCACTGCCTGTGTGTGCAGGGTCATCCTTTGCCTACTGAGAAGACTGGCAAAGCCTGGCAAAGGGAAGGGTCTTCCACTCAGGAAACGGCAGGAGGGCAGGCACAGGGGTTTCTGACATCAGCTCAGCTGGTACTGACTGACTGGGATGAGAGCTGTCTACCTGGCCACACTAGCAACCAGGGAGCTAAGAGGCTCCAGCAGTGCAGAAAGCATCTGTGTGCATCATATATATGTCTGGCTATATGGAGTGGCAACGATGGCAGAAAATCAGAGAGCAGAGAACGAAAATAGGAGAGGAAGAAAGAAATTTGCACACATCAGAAAAGTCAGATGTGAAAGCAGAGAGACTGCTGGGATTTTCCCACCCTGAATTACTAGACAGTGTAAAACGGTCAGGCACTGTTCAGTCTGGCTAGGTCTTCCCTGCACAGTGACAGAAGGTGACGTCTCAAGAACTGACAGGGAGTCGGCCTCCGCGGTGAGCAAGCTGTGCTACCCCTTCCAGTTCCAGGGAAGGTTTCCCAGACCCCCTTGTCATCACGGGTTACATCTCCTTTGCAGGGACGGGGCTGAACACTGTGGCACCTGTGTGGTGATCTCTGACAAAGGAACCAGCACTTTCCCCCTCCCCGGGGCCTCTTCTTGCCCTGGTCCCACTTCAAGAGCCTGACCTGCTTGACCTGCAGGCCGTGGCTCCATATTCTCTCCAGCAGGTCACAGAGGCTGGCGATCAGGGTGTTCTCCTCCAAGCCGGTGAGGTTTGCTTCTCCGTGGCCCAGCTCCACAGCTTCGTGGCCCATTTTCTCCACCAACATGCGTTTTGTCTGAAACATCAAATGCAGCCACGGGTTACCCCAACAGCGAAGCCAGAAATCCAAACAGCAGCCTGTGACTGCACCAGCAGATTGGCTTTTCTTCCTCGTGCACCTCAAGGCTGGTTTGTATATTCACCATCAGGAAAACGTCTTAATCTCTGTGGTCAACTAATGAAAGTGGTACCACCTGGTGTCCCTACTGTGCCGGAGAGATGCAGGTCGATAGAGAGAGAATGAGAGAGCATTCGTACAGCATCCTCATGGTGAAAACATGCTCTACGTCCAGCAGTGCCGCACTGTGCACCTCTGGGAAGCTGGGCGATCACGGCATCCCAGACGCGGTACTGTCCCAGCGCGGCACCCAGTGCGGCAGGATGTTTTGTGCCGCGCCCCAGCACGCTCAGGCGGCTGCATTTGCTGTTAACTGCACTCAGGCAGCTCTAAGTTTCTGGAGAACTCTAACGTCTGGGTGAACCAGGGCGCTTTTTCACGCCTCCTTGCGTCTTTTGGCTTGTCACGGCTCAGGAGTATACACCAGAAAATGGAAAGGGAGAGAGAAGTCAGTTTCAGGTGTAATCAACTGGCAACCATCTTGCAGCTCTCACAGAGCACACAGCGCGGGAGAATCTGGTCCTTCTGGGCAGTGACCATGTCTGTCTGATTCACCACCGTACGTTGAGGCTGAAAACAGTGCATTCACTGAACACGCAGGAATGACAGTCAAGAAACAGCCGTCAAACAAACGAAATTATCAGCCAGAAGGATGTTCTGGGTCTTGTCATTCTGTGTTACTACTTCTGACAACAGACACCTGAGAGGAGGCTGCTATGCAATGTATACAAACACAACTAAGGTTTTATCCTATGGGTATTTGGATGCAGGAATGGGCACAGCTAAAGTGTTCACAGGTGTGTACAAACATACAAAATGTGCTGTCTTAACCAGAGCGGATGACATTCCTGATGCAACCCCTGAGGCTCCACATCAGTAATGTGTGAAACGCAGAGGCTTCTGGGTCACTGAGAGTCTCTGCAGGCCCAAGACCTCAGCAAAAACCACATGGGGTCTGAGCCACAGTCAAAGTTTCCTTCCAGGAAAGCTCCCAGCTCAAGTGGAGTCCCCTCAGGTCATCTCAGCTTCACACGCGGCGCAGACACAAATACACACTGTTCGGCATTAGCGAACAAGACGTACCTTCATCCGACACTCTTTTAACAAGCCTTCTACGAACTTCCAGTTAGTCTGTGCGATCACTGCCGGAGAGAGGTCTGACAGCTTGGGCTGCCTCATGTTTTTTCCTAAACTTCGTGCCTCTTGCATATATTTCTAAAAATTAAAGAGCATTTTTAATGCATGAAAATCAGAAATTCCTCTGAGCTATTTAACGTTACACAAACAAGTGCAGGAACCAACACAATGCCATAAAGCCCTAAGGGTACATGTGCAACAGCAATGGAGGTTTTAGTGCGTCTAAAGGCTGAGGGCACTCAGATCTGCCCCCTCCATCCTGTAACTCCCATGAAAAGCAGGGTGACAGAAACTCCATGAAGCTAAAATTCATTCAAAATGAGATGCAGTTTCATTAGTTTAGTCTTTTTACTGGGAACACCCACAGTGTGATTAGTCAAGATCATGGCTGGTGCCCGTATTCTAAGTCCACGGGAAGGCTGTGCAGGCGATGAGTGGCTCTCAGATGGCTGCTTCCTCCACTCCTCCACCCCGGGGGCCCCGGGCCTGGGGGGCAGCTCTCCAACCTGTCTTATGCTTTAGTCAAGTACAAATAGAAAACCAAGACCTCTGGACTCCTGCTGCAACGAACTCCACGGCCTCAGGTTCATCAACTGATGTGTGCACATCTCAGCTGACTAGGTGAATGAACACGCAACACGCCCAGCAACCTCAGGAAAGCATCAGATGGCCTGAGAAGCAGGATGTGTGTGGGAGGCCTCTCCTCTCTCAAGTGTTTGTGAAAGCCTTCCCTTGCTTTATTCCAAGGTCAAGAAAAGTGAGACTGCAGCACTCAAGGTCAGAGGTACCTCTGGTGCCTTGTGGTTGACTTTTGGTCTGGGGAAGATTTCCATTTGATATACCGCTACACAGACTTAGCATAGACTTGTGTTCTCTCCTCTTTCTAAGCTACCTGGAAAAGCTTATCCAGATACCTTATGCTTGCATCGGAATCAAAGGGCAGAATCTCCAAAACATCCAAGTGTTTTAGGACCATATTTGGAGAGTAATGCTCTAAATTATAAAGTAAAACTAGCAGTTGGCAGGATGAGCCAGCATATCCTCCCATGGGTACTTACGGGAAATTCAGATGTGTAAAATCCCTTGTATCCTTTAAATAAAAGGGCATTTGGACATTTCATATGTTTCCCCTTTGGAATAAAAGTAATCTGCTAATTCTGGTAAAAACACTTAAAAATCCTGTTAGGGACTTAGCCGTCAGTGTTCCTGCCACTTCCCAGCCTTTGCACTGAAGACAATGTTAACAAATGATGTTTCTTTTCCAGCTCAATCATTTTAAGTAGCAATTTAAAAATCAAATGAACTCTGCAGGCATGTATTTCCCACGCTTCTTTCTACTGCTATTATTTTTAGAGGCTCAAAGAAAGAAGGGAAAACTGAGAAATGCAAGACAAACTAGCACCAGTAGGCAAGTTAAATGTAACAAGGTCGAAAGGAAACATTCTGAAGATGAGTTTTCAAATAAGAAAATGGATGAAAAATCAACCTGAAATTCAGGGTAGGGATCGTACATGAGAACTGTAACATCTGCATTTCTGACTGTTTCAGGTGACACTAATGCAATCTGCCTATTAAAAATCAGAGACAGAACAAATGAATGAAGACAGTTAAATATTTACAGGTCTTTTGTTCCGCCCAGCCTCAAACTCCTCCATCTTTAGGATGTAGACAAATGCACAGAGATCTGGCACAACACTCAATTCTCAAAAGGAGATTCAAACAGAAGAAAACAGTGAGAAACATGTTCAGGCAAGAGGCCGGGAAGGGGCCTTAGGTACTTCTCTTTCTTCAGAAATACATGAATAAACTTTACAAATGTGGACTGGAAAAGCAGAGAGGAAGACAGACAAAAATCTCCCATCTGCTGGTTCCCTCCTCAAATACTCTCAAATGCCAAGGCTGCGTCAGACTGAACAGTAACCTGGAACATGTCCATCCAGGTCTCCCAAATGAGTGACAGGCACCCAAGTATTTGAGATATCAAACAATGCCCAGAGCAGGCATAAGAAAGAAGCTATACTGGAAGTAGAGGAGCTGGGTCATGAATCAGGAACTGAATAAATTTTTAAAAGCCATTAACTGGATTAAAAATTAAGATTTTTAAGAAGTTTATTCACTTGCATCTGCTCAAAAGGCAGAGCAACAGAGAGAGAGAGAGAGAGAAAGGGAGACAAACAGTAAGAATTGCCATTCAGGGGTTCACTCCCCAATTACCTGTAACAGCTGGGGCTCAGCTGAAGCCAAAACAGAGATCCAGGAACTCAATCCAGGTCTCCCACATGGGTGGCAGGAACCCAATTACGTGAGCCATTACTGCTGCTTCTCAGGGTCTGCCTAACAGCATGCTAGAGTCAGGAGCTGGAATAGCCCCGAGGTGCTCTGACCCAGGATGGGGGTATCTTAACTCTTAAGATCAAGGCCTACCCAGCACTGTTTACAGAGTTTATTAGCTTTTTGATAAAATGAAAATGAGCCAGATGGGGCTATCCTTTGAGTGACCCTATTTACCAAGCCCCCAGTGTATGTGGAGCAGGTATACTTACTGGCCAAAAAACACACCCCATAGGGCCATGTGTGAAGTCTTCTTCCCAGCATCTCCGCTGGGACCACAGAATAAGCAACAGTCCCAGGACTTGCAGAGAAAGAACACAGTTGCCTCTGCATAGTACAGAAATAGGGCCAGGCCTTTAAAGTAAACAAGGGATCAAAGAAATGGTAGCAGGAAGGAGAATCCTTTAGATGAAAGGCAGGGAGAGAGAAACAGAGTCAACGGGGGAGGGGGAGGGAGAGGGGGAGGGTGAGATACCCTCCACTGATTCACTTCCCCAAAGGCCCACAACAGCCAGGGCTAGGCCAGGCTGAAGCCAGGAGCCTGGAACTCCATCTGGTTCTCCCACGTGGGTATCATTTACCTACCAGCAGGAAGCTGGATTAGAAGCAGAAGAGGGGCTGGCATTGTGGCTTAGCAGGTAAAGCTGCTGCCTGCAGTGCCAGTATCCCATATGGGTGTCAGTTCAAGTCCCGGCTGCTCCACTTCCGATCCAGCTCTCTACTAAGGCCTGGGAAAGCAGAAGATGGCCCAAATGCTTGAGCCCCTGTACCTGCATGAGAGACTTGGAAGAAGCTCTTTGCTCCTGGCTTCGGATCGGCCCAGCTCCGGCCACTGCAGCCATTTAGGGAGTGAACCTTAGTGGACGGAAGACCTCTCTTTCTGCCTCTCTGTAATTCTGCCTTTCAAATAAATAAACAAACAAATAAATAAATCTTTAAAAAAATGCAGAAGAGCCAGGATTCAAACAAGGCACTCTAACATGGGTTGTGGCTGTCCCAAGATGTCAAAAAACCCACCCCCACAAGAATGTTTTATGAGCCTCAACTTCTTCCGAGATTTCTACTATGCTCTTTATTTCTGTTGAAGACAAAAGCAAAAAACCACTAGGAGCTATCTATGAAAATATAACCTGGTGCTGGTACTGTGGCATAGCAGGTTAAGCTGGCACTTGGGACGTCGGCATCCAGTGCTGGAGTTCCGGCTGCCCCACTGCTGATCCGGCTTCCTGCTAATGCTTCTGGGAAGGCAGTGGAAATGGCCCAAGTGCTTGGGCCTCTGTCACCCATGTGGAGACCAGGACGCAATTCCTGCTCCTGGCTTTGTCCTGGGTGTTGGAGCCATATGGGGAGTGAACCAGCATGTGGAAGACCTCTCTCTCTCCCTCTTGCTCTCATTCTCCTTTCAAATAAATAAATCGTAAAAAACAAACAAACTAGGAGGAGACTTCAAAAAGTCTGTGGAAAAGGGAACTAAGGGATGAGTTCATTAAAAGAAAGGAAAATATCTCCTATTATTCAATACACACTGACGCAACTGCTCTCCCACACAGGCTCTCTCTGAGCGTTCCAGTGAACACTGCTGCTTTATCTGGGGCTAGACTTCTGAGGAGACCACTGAAGAATTAAGTAATCTGAGCTAATGACAAAATGGGGGAAACACAAACAAGGGTCTTAAGTACTTGTGCCCTCAGGTGGACAGCAGTCAGTACAGGTGTTGGCTGGAAACTGGCGACCAGCTCCACTGGCCTGTGCGCGTGACTCTGGCAAGCCTCCTGGACTGCAGTTAAACCGCTATGCCCTGGACAAGAGGATTAATAGCCCTTCTCAGCACTGAGATTCTCTACTGATAACTGCATTTTCTGACCACACAGAATACAGAAAAGGAAGGAAAGTGACAGCACTGTGACTGTAACACTGCAAAAAGAAAAGCTGTTTGGATTGGAACTGAGTCACTTTTGCAAAATGCCTACGTGAAGAGGAGTCTGCATTTTAACACATTTCCCCTTCGGATGAAAAGCACTTTTCTATCTGGTACTCCCCCCTACTCCCACCCAACCCGAGTCCCCCTGATTAAGGGTCCTAGTGCTCAGCTTTATTAGTCAACAACATGCAGTGACTCATGGGAGCACACACCAGCTCAAGACACCAGAGGAAGCAGAAGGCACAGAGGGGCTGAGAGTTCACACCTGAGGTGAGGTGAGGCCTTCTACAGCTGCGTGCACGCACGCGTGTGCATCACTCAGGGGCATTCAAGACGAGCTCCAGCAGGGAACATACCAGGCAGCACTCAGAGAAGGATTTTTTAGGAAGTCGTGCAGGAGGAGGTGGGCCCTGGTCCCACTCCCAGAATGCCATGGAGTTCTGACAGACCACAAGTTCCCCGGAAGGCTAAGAGGATGGAGGAGTGCCAACGACAGAAAGCAAAAAAGAGAAGTACAGGGAGAGAGACAAACAAAACAAGCATGCATATGATAAAGTCACAGCAAATGGGGCAAGGGGAGAAAATACAGAAGCAAAAGAAAAGCACGACACTGACCATGCTTCAGCTCGTAAGAAAATGTTGAAAATCATAGACGAATGAGCACACTATCAGAAATAATAGAGCTTTATTTCTACACGTTTGAGTTTAGAAAAGAGACGTCTTCTGACTGCATTTTCCTTTGATCACAAGAAATAATCAAAACCTACTTATAATTATTCAAATGCATAATTATTATTTATTCTCAAAGACTTCAAATAAAGCATAAGGATCTTAATTTTATAACAGCTTGAAAACTTTTAAAAATGTCAGAAAAGACAAAGCACAGGCAAATACATCTATATTTTCTAAGTTTATATTCTGCTTGGAACTGATAAATGTCTACTCTTGCAAATCTGTATGCCTACAGCAAATACGCTACCTGAAAATTTCTCCTAAACTTAGCCTTTACCTCATGTTTTACACAAAGCCTTTTTTAAAGCTTTATTGAAATTACAAAAATGGAACAAAGATACTTTTTGCTACGTTAGTACAAAAGAATTAATATTTAAACATGTAACAGCCATTTTGTAAAAGAACACAAAAAACCTGCACAGTGACACCTGCTGGGCTGAGCAAGCCCACCCAGTTCACGGCTCCTGCCTGGAGGCAGCCGGGCCGGTGGCCCACGTACCTCCCGCAAGTCGCTGTCCAGCCCGATGTGCTCCGAGTGCTGGCGAAGACGCTCCTTCCTGCGCTGCGTGGCAGCGTTGCGACTCACCCAGCGGCTGAAAAAGAACCAAGCCAAGGGCGTGAGGGCTTCAACATTCAAGAAAGACAGGCAGACCTTAAAGTAGAAAAAATGAACACAAAAGACGACAATATCTACTTTATAATCAACTTCTTAAAAAATATGTAACAGCTTTCTTTTTTTTAAAATTTTCTATTTATTTTATTTGAAAGGCAGAACTAGAGTGAGACTAAGAGCAAGATCTTTAACTGGCTCATTCCCCAAATGCCTGCAACAGCTGTGGGTGGGGAGGGTGGTAGCCAAGGAGCCCAGAACTTCATGTGGGTCCCCTAGGTAGGTTTGGCAGGGACGCAAACACCTGGACCATCACCCATGCCTTCCCAAGCCCATTAGAAGGAAGTACAACTGAAAGCACAGAGCAGCCAGGAATCAAATCACACATTCTGATACCCGTTGTGGATGTCCCAAGTAACAGCTAATCCCACACTGTGCCACAATGCCTGCCGCATAAGTTTTAAAGACTAATTTAAAATTTATTTTTATTTAATTATTTAAAAGGCAGAGAGACAGAGACAGAAAGACAGACAGACACATGCAACAGTCTTATAGCCACTGGGGCAGTCCCTAAAGGCCACTAACAGCTAAGGCTAGGCTGAAGCCAGGACCTTGGAACTCAATCCAGGTCCCATGTTCAGCATCTGTTCAAGTATCTGGGTCCCTGCTGTAAGCAGGAAGGTAGAGTCAGAAGCAATATGAGGACTCAAACCCAGGCACTCTGATTTGAGTGTCTCACACTCTGTCTTAACCGCTGCACCAAATGCCTGTTGTTATATAACAACTTTACTGAGATCCAATTAAAATACATACAATTCACCTACTGAAATCATATAACACACCAGTTTTTAGTATGCCTGCAAATACATGCACCCATAACTACAATTAATGCTTTTAAAAAACTGGGATTACAAAAGGCTAAGAGGGGTGGTTGCTTGGCCTAGCAGGTAAGATGTTGGCAAGGACGTCCATGTCCCACATCAGGGTTCCAGGATTCAGATTGTGGGTCCAGCTCCTGACTCCAGCTTTCTGCTGCTGCAGACCCCGGGAGGCAAGCAGCTGGGTTCCTGCCACACACACGGAAGACCTGGACTGAGTTCCCAGGGCCTGACTTTATGAACAACTGACTCAGCCTGGTCACTGCAAACAACTGGGAAATGAACGAGCAGAAAGGAGTTCTATGACCTCTCTCTCTCTCCTTTTTTCCCAAATAAACAGTATTTTAAACTAGGCAGTATACTGGATATTTGTAAATATACTAGCAAATCAGATCTTAACCGAGCTAGTTCTGCATTACATTAGACATGTAGTAGGGATGCCTTGACTTGCTCAAAATATTATATATGAATTTTTAATACAACATACATAATTCAGCATTTAATTCTAACATCTAAAAGAATAAAATTTATGAATTTTCTATTTTTAGGAACAGCTTTTTAAAAAACATATTTTTTTAAAGATTGATTTATTTATTTGAAAGGCAGAATTAGAGAGAGAGAAAGGGAGAGACAGGGAGGGAGGAAGCAAGAGAGAGAGGGAGAGAGGGAGAGAGGGAGGGAGAGACAGAGACAGAGACACACACACGTCTTCCATCTGCTGGTTCACTCCCCAAATGGCCACAACAGTGGAAGCTGGGCCGATCTGAAGGCAGAAGCCTCTTCTGTGTCTCCCATGTGGGTGCAGAGAACCAACAACTTGGGCCGTCTTCCACTGCTTCCCCAGGAGCATTAGCAGAGAGCTGGATCAGAAGTGGAGCAGCTGGGACTCAAACCGGCACCCACAGGGATGCCGGCACTGCAGACGGCAGCAAAACTCGCTGCACCACAGCGTCGGCTCCTAGGAGTAGTTTTCTAAACTTCAGATCCCAACCAGTAAGAGAAATTCCTCATGTGTAAGGCACACGGTTGAACTTGCTGGCCCTTGAGGTTCCTCTCAGGTCTGTGATTGTGTGACCCTATTTCTATGGGATAAGAGCCTGCATTTATCAGCTGTTCTGGAAAAACACTAATTATACAACCTCAGTACCAAAACACACAGGAAAAAGGAGTTTCATAAAATGCGAACTCTTCCATGGCCCATGAGCTCTAGATAGCCAGGCCTGTGCTGGTTCCTCTCAGACCTGACCTCGCACCACATTTCTGCTAACTGACCATGTCTGAGCCAGTGACCTCATTCTGCTTCAAAGTGATTTATAATAAAACCCGTGATAATTCTCTAAGTTTTCTCTGCTACTGATCTGGTGGCAGCTATGTTGCCCTGCCGTTCTAAGACTTCGCCTCGGTTGCTTTTGCTTTTTTTAAATGATTCAACAATAAATATGTCCGAGGCCGAGGGACTTGCCCCGGGTGATACAAGGGGCTGAAAGACATTTAATCGTATTTCCCTTATTTAAAGGTGCTTCTGTGGCCAGCCTAGCTAGCCACCTACAACTGCCAGATCAAAGTACAGAACCTAAACCATTTATCTCTTAACACCCATAATCACTCCTTTGTGTCTGTTTTCATCATTCAGTTTAGAATCAGTTTTCTTCCCTTAAGCAAAATCACTTCACTTCAGCCACATCAGGCACATCACATTTTTTTTTTTTTTTAAGATTTATTTATTTGTTTGAAAGTCAGAGTTACAGACAGAGAGAAGGAGAGGCAGAGAGAGAGAAAGAGGTCTTCCATCCGCTGGTTCACTCCCCAAATGACCACAACAGCCCCAAATGACCGCAACAGCGGGAACTGGGCCCAGTTGAAGCCAGGAGCCAGGAGCTTCTTCTGGGTCTCCCGCGCGGTTGCAGGGGCCCAAGGACTTGCGCCACCTTCTACTGCTTTCCCAGGCCGTAGCAGAGAGCTAGATGGGAAGTGGAGCAGCCGGGACTCAAACTGGTGCCCAAATGGGATGCAGGCACTGCAGACAGTGGCTTTACTCAATACCCAGCACTCCTCTGCCTCAGAGACCCTAAGCCATCACCACATGCCGGACTTCCACCTAAGACCCCTGTGCTGCCTCCTGTGTTCTGAGCCCACGTCTCGACGAAAATTGTCCCACTTACTACCATACTAGCACCTGCTGCTGTGGAGGGACCTCTCCTTCCCCCTCAAGATACACACACCCTCACTTCCCTATTCCCACATTCCCATGTGGACTAGTTCTTGATTTCCCTCATCTGCCTTTATCATCTGAGACCATTAAAAACTTCCCCTGCGCCTCAAGTGTCCCACTCAACTGAAGAGCCACCTTGCTCCTCTTCCTGCCTTCTATCCGTGCATACACAGACACAGATCGCTAAGTATAAAGTCTATGCACCATGCCTCAAGACTATTTCTCCCACCCGTGTCCCTGAACAATACTCTCCCGCCTTTTTCAACATGCTCCATCACGCTCCTCCCTGCTGTATCACCAACGTTTCTTTCTCCACGAAGTCCTTTCAGCTCACAGACATGCTGGTCTCCCTCTTCACCCGCAGTGGTTAGGTTTAAGTACCATGAACCCACAATTCTTTTACTTGACGGAATAGCACTCCTTGCCCAAATATTTTTTAAAAATTGGTACTGAAGATTTTCTAGACCACCAAATAATCTTTGTGGATGGGACAATATTCATGGGTGCAAGGAGTAAGGAGATCTGGGTTCTAACCCTGACTCTGCGCTAATGAAATCCTGTCTTTTGCAACAAAATGGATGCAACTGGAAACCATTATACTTAATGAAATAAGCCAGTCCCAAAAAGACAAATACCAATACTATATGTTTTCCCTGATCCAAGGTAACTAACAGAGTACCTGAAACATAACGTACTGCAGTAAAATGGACATTTTGAGGTTCAATGATTATTTACAGCCCTTGTCTCTTCTGCTGAGGTACAGTTTTTTTTTTTTTTTTCCTTCATACTATTTGTTGAACTCTTTTACTTAGTTTAGGGTTAACTTTACGTTCTTTAAATAAACTGAAAGTAGATCTTTGTAAAAATCAAGAGCGAGAATGGGAGAGAGAGGAGAAGGAAGGGTTGGGGCATGGCTGGGAGGGAGGGTGGGGTGGGAAGCATCACTATGTTCCTAAATTTGTACATATGAAATACATGAAACTTGTATAACTTAGTAAAATTAAAAAAATACAAACTCTGAGGACATGTTCCACATTTCTGTAATTAAACACCATATCTCCAAATTCTAACACAATTAAATAGCATTACTACTACCACTAATAATAATTCTAAAAGAAGAATGAAGATGGTGTTTAAGCATCTGTCTTGTTTCAAAAAGTACTGCCCTGTCTCCGCCGGGTCCACTTCTCTTCAGAGAGCCCAGCTGAGGCCAGAGGTGAGACATCCGAGGGCTCTGATTCTGGAGGGATCCCACAGATTAGGCATACAGCTAAAGTCCCATATGCTCACTATTTTAAATTCTTCAAAAAAATTTTTTAAAGATTTATTTATTTATTTGAAAGTCAGAGCTATACATTGAGAGGAGAGGCAGAAAAAGAGGTCTTCCATCCGCTGGCTCACTCCCCAGCTGGCTGCAACGGCCAGGGCTACACTGATCCGAAGCCAGGAGCCAGGACCTTCCCCTGGTCTCCCATGTGGGTACAGGGGCCCAAAGACTTGGGCCTTCTTCTACTGCTTTCCCAGGCATAGCAGAGAGCTGGATTGGATGTGCAGCAGCCGGGTCTTGAACTGGCAACCATACGGTATGTCCGCACTGCAGACCGGGGCTTTACCCGCTACGCCAAGGTACCGGTCCCAGTTCTTCGAAATTTCTTAGGGCTATTAATGGTAGCATGGCTTCCAACACTGAAAATAAAACAGGCACACTCACCTCTTTATTAGAGGGACAGAGTCAAGCCATGCATGCAGTGCCTGGGCTCCTGAGCAAGCACAATGGGGTTTAAATCACCCTAGTTTCTGGCTGCTGGATCTCGACGTGAGCTGCTGAATCTTTCTAATTTCACTTACTTTTTCTAATTGTTTTTAAAATTTATTTACTTATTTGAAAGTCAGAGTTACAAAGAGAGTGAGACATAGAGAGTGCTGGGTCACTTCCATGTGCTGGGTCACTCCCAAACGGTGGCAATGACAAGGGCTGGGCCAGGTCAAAGCCAGGAGCCAGAAGCTTCTTCTGGGTCTCCCACATGAGTGCTGAGGCCCAAGCACTTAGGCCATCTCCCACTGCTTTCCCAGGTGCATTAGCAGTGAGCTGGATCAGCAGTTGGAGCAGCCTGAACTTGAACTGGTGCCCATATGGGATACCATTGCTGCAGGCTACGGTTTAACCCGCTCTGCCACTGCGCCAGCCCCTGACCTTGACTTACAGAACGGGTAAAACAATACAATACAGGTACACGTTGGGAGATGCTCAGAACAAGAGCAAGGGCAAGGCTGTGGAGGCAGTCAGCAGGGAGCTGCTGCAGGGCCAGCTCAACGGCCGCACTCCTACTGGCAGTAGCAACACCTCCACTGCCCTCTGCTCCTGGCACAGGGAAGGCTCCACTGGCAGGAAACATGTATCTGGAATAGGAAAAAAAATGGGCTCGAGTGAAGGGTAGTCATTACTTTAAAGAAAGCAGTGGTGAACACGTCCAGTCTTTCTGACAGAACTGTTAGGGGTGGAGACTGGTAATTAAGACGCTGAAGGGAAAAGAAAGTGGCGTCTTGAGTGCTGTCTTTTCCTTAATTCTTACACACCATTTTTTTCTTTTGATGTGCTTGCTTTCTCCTATTTGGATGACACTGAATCGATAATTCTGCCACATTTCAGAAACATATTTGCACAAACACCCTAGGCAGGTCTGCCAGGAAAAGAGCAGGGTTTCATTCCTTTCGGGTTATTAAAACTATGACACTAATAGCACAAACATGAACATTAGAATACACAAATATTACCACACAGATACGACTCTCAAGAAATCCTGCACACACTGTCTAACTCAGTACTGAGTTTGCATCACATTAAAAACAGCTGACCACGTCCCACTTTCCCTGACGCAGAGAATCCTGAGGGACTCCTTGAGAAGTAATGGGAGGTATCAAGTATTCTGCGACTTGGTGCAGAGGTGGAAACATCACACTTGTAAGCCATCTTTTAAGAACGTTCCTGTTCCTTATTCAGTTTGGGACATTCAGATTCAAAACACGGCCTTCCACTCTTGCTTGCTCCCCCACTGACTCGATTCTGACATGCAGGCGCTAGCTGCTGTTTTCCTTTTGTGTACCTGTCTTTGACTTCAGTCTTCCAGCTCCTTTATTTGCCACTGGCCTGACTCCTTTTCACATTCTTCTCTACGATTCTTTAATCAGGAATCACAAGGAAGGGCACTATGGCACAGGTTAAGCAGTGGCTTGGCACACCTGCATCCCATATTGAGTGTTCAGTTCACAGTCCCAGCTACTCTTCTCCTAATCCAGGTCGCTGCTAATGAGCCAGAGAAGCAGCACATGACCGATCAATTACTTGAGTCCTGCCACCCATGTGCGACAGCAGGATGGAGTTCCCAGCTCCTAGTTCTAGCCTGGCCCAGCTGGCTGCTTGGCCACTTGGAGAGTCAATCAGTGGATAGAAGATCTATGTTCCTCTGCCTTTCAAATAAATAAATTTTAAAAAATAAAAAAGGGAACCACAGATATTCTAGGATGTTAGAATAGTTTCAGATGAGCAAAGAGGCAAGTGACTCTCACTTGTGCAAGGTTCCTACACAGACTGGTGTTAAGAGCGAGCTGAATTCTAGAACTGCTACCTTCCCCAGTTTGAAGCTTGCTCTTCCTTACTTACCTTATTCCTCATCTGCACTTACTTGGGCTTCCTTTGCTGTAAACCATTGCTTTAATAAAACACTTGTTTTTTTTTTTTTTATTTTTTTGACAGGCAGAGTGGACAGGGAGAGAGAGAGACAGAGAGAAAGGTCTTCCTTTGCCATTGGTTCACCCTCCAATGGCCGCCGCAGCCGGCAGCTGTGGCTGGCGCACCGTGCTGATCCGAAGGCAGGAGCCAGGTGCTTCTCCTGGTCTCCCATGGGGTGCAGGGCCCAAGCACTTGGGCCATCCTCCACTGCACTCCCGGGCCACAGCAGAGAGCTGGCCTGGAAGAGGGGCAACCGGGACAGAATCCGGCGCCCCGACCGGGACTAGAACCCAGTGTGCCAGCGCCGCAAGGCAGAGGATTAGCCTAGTGAGCTGCGGCGCCGGCTTGTACTCATTTAAAATCAAGCACTCTCCTAATCCCAAGTAATTATTTTTCAATTCTAACCATATTCAGAACACAGAATAGAATCACCTGTCAAAGAATGATGGGGTTTATCTTCATCGTGTTCTTATAGTCCTTTTTTTTTTTTTTGGACAGTGAGTGAGACAGAGTAAAAGGTCTTCCTTCTGTTGGTTCACCCCCCAAATGGCTGCTACGGCCGGCGCACTGTGCCAATCCGAAGCTGGGAGCCAGGTGTTTCTCCTGGTCTCCCAAGTGGGTGCAGGGCCCAAGCACTTGGGCCATCCTCCACTGCCACAGCAGAGAGCTGGACTGGAAGAGGAGCAACTGGGACAGAACCGGCACCCTGACCGGGACTAGAACCCAGAGTACCAGCGCCGCAGGTGGAGGATTAGCCTAGTGAGCTGTGGCGCCGGCCGAAACACATAATTCTAACATGTTTATCTTCACTAGCAAATTCCCGTTACTGAAACGGCGCCGGCCGTTCTTATAGCTTTTTGTCCTTGATTCTAATACTCGTAAGTGCAAAGATGGTGAATGGGTAGAACTGTGTCCCCCACAGGCACAACTGGGACCCCTAGACTCAAGAAGCGGTGACCTATTTCTCTAGTAAAAATAATAAATAAATAAGTAAAAATACCTGACGTTACGTGTTCCCATAACTGAATTTTCAAGGGAAAATGCACTACTGAGAGGTCAGATGTACCTGCTATCTGTGAATGTGAAAATCAGATCTCGGCAGATGAGGCCATCAGAGTGGGTGGGCCCCATTACCACGGGACTGATGTCTTTGTAAGAGGAGGAGTACTGCAGTACAGACACAGAGATGGCCGTGCGAGCACCAAGGCAGAAGCAAGATTTCTGCTCCTGCAAGACAAGAACTACTGGGGTCCCAGGAGCTGAATCAGGCGGGGAAGGACCACCCCCTTGAGGCCTTGGAGGGAGCACAGTTTTGGACTTCTAGCTTCTATGGCCGTGAAAAAAGAATTTTTGTTGTTTTAAGCCAATGAGTTTGCAGTACTTGTTAGCGCAGCCATAAACACTAATGAAGACAGTAAAACTGCAACTTTCTAAATGCTACTGACAGGATTACCATTGTAGCAAGAGGGCTAGTTCCGTGCGGCCACTTCCAAGCGCACTTTTGTTGAGGGGGAAAAAAAAAACAAAAAGCGCTAAGTTTCTGGACTTTTTTTTTCCTGACTGACGTAAAAGTCCAGGGCTCCCGCAGCATCGCTCTGTACTTGAGCAAGGCTACGTGCTCTGGATAAAAGCAGTCTAGCCAACCCCAAGTCCAGTGGCTGCGGAGCACGCACCCTTCCTCTCTCCAGGCAGCCGCTCCGGGAAGAATGGGCTTACTTGTTATTGGTGGGTCCTGCGGACAAGACGTCGGACTGTAACTTTGGGAAGAATCCTTGCTCGTATTTGCCTTGACCAATTTTCATATCAAGCAGATGTGGGTGGATTGCAGTGTGATCCATTTTCATCAGTCTCTGCTCAATTGACTGGGCTATAAATTAAATTTATAATAAATTAGACACATTTCATGGCTAAACCTTTAAAAATAATGCTTACTCCACTCATGCACCTACAGAGAACCATTAATTCCAACATTCTGAGATAGATTTTTTACAATCAGTGTAATGTAAGTTTAAAGAGATTAATCTTAAGTAAATATTGGATAATTAATTTTCAGCTTTTGTCAAAAGGACAGCAGGGTTGAAAATTCTGTAATTTGGCATTGAAACAGTTCCTCTTAAATGGGAATTCAATATTCTTAATGAAAACATGATCTGAAGTACAACAGTTAAAGAAAATAAGGGCAAATAAAATACATTTCTGGAGCTGCAAGACAATGTCAAGGGAAAGAAGAAGCAAGTACAGTAGCCTTATTATTTTACTTATTTGTTCCATTAAGGCCATTAAATATTCATGGTTCTCCATCTGTAAAAACAAGGAATGGTGTGACATTTATTACCTCACTTTTGGCAGCAGTCACATTCTCATTAGTAGGAGTCATTTAAGAGTGTTAGATCAAGAGGGAATGCAGAGAACAAGTCAAACAAGCAGGCATTAAAATATCCAGAGGATAAGAAATCGGCCTTTTTGAAAATAAAACAGTTGAAGAGATGGGAGTTACTCAAACATTCTATTTTTAGAAATGTTAGAGGATGTCCCCTAACCCAAGAAACAGTGATATATTTCTCTGGTAAAAAAAAAATCTGATCTTATGTGTTTCCATAACTGAACTTTCGAGGGAAAACGCACTACTGAGAAGCCCGTTTGGGCCTCCGGTCCTACAAAGGAGAAGCCGTAATTGTGGGTGTGCTGCCCATCCTGGGGCTTGAGGGAGGCAAAAGGCAGCCTCCCACAGAAGGCAGTTTATTGTGCTCCTCTTTAACACTGACTGCGTCCTGCTGGCTACTCCCCAAACACATTCGACAGCTCTCCTAGGGGTGGGCTGAGAGGGGTCCACCCCTGCCACTCTCCACTTCCGTCAAAAGAACAAATGTCACTTTGTGTCAGCTCACAAAATGCACCCGCCCACGCAGCTGTTGGTGTCTGATGGCAGGACTACAGATGGTCCCAGGAAGTGGCCACTGCCCTTCACGACCGAGACTTCCAAGTGCGACATGTGAGCTTTAAGATCCCGCATCTCCTCTCACAACCCAATTTATCCACTATCCTTCTGAGTTCCATTATATTTTTAACACGTAACCTGTAACTTCTCTTTAAAGATGGTCTGTCCATACATTCTATGCAGGACAAAAGGACAAGTGCTTTAATATGAAACGCTATTTAATTTTCAGCATTACGCCCTGCCTCTCCAGAACCCTGCCAATGTTCTCTATGTGTCTCAGTATCTGTAAAACACAGTGGATGGTTTGGGCAAAATGGTGCCTAGATTCATAGCATGGAATTCTCTGAAGTCCCTGCCAAGTTCATATTTGATAAAATACTACAAAATTTCTTTTCTGCCAGTAAGTGTTTTTGTCCTCATGAAAGGGGGAAGGGGAGGAGATGAAGTTTTCCACTGGATTTAAAATGAGAGAGAAATCCAACTGATAGCATGTTGTTCTCTTTTACTTGGGACGTTTTTAAAAATAAAAACCATGACTCACAAACAATCACCCTCGAGTTTATATTTTAAATGGCCACAGGGAATGCAACCCAAGGCTGTTCAGTGAATGTGCCACCAGTGAACAATGAACCCTCAGAAGTTATTAAATGCCTGCTTTGGGAGGTCAGGGGTCTACTGTTAGACTTCTAAGGTTTGTGCCAGCATTCATGTGCTGTGACTGGTGAGGAAACAGAAAGCCGTATTACTATCAACTGGTTGTCTTTCTGCACAGAAACCACGAGGTTCGGGAGCCACAATGTCAGCAGCAGACAGCCTGTGCCTAAGGGGTTCACCTGCAAATCAAAATTCTTTTTGGTTAGAGGCAAAGCAAAAGCAAACAACACAAGGAAAGAAAAATAATACACAACAAAAATTCAGCATCATCAACAACTCTCTAGTCTTCTTTCGGGATGGGGGCGGAGAGTAGAGTTTTACCGGCTAAATGAAATCACTGCCTCATTTAGGAGGGGTAGGCACAGTCACAGCAAGCTACCTCTTTTTATCTTTTAAAAAAGTTTTTGGCTACTTAAACTCCTCCAAAACTAGCACATTAGCCTCAACTCTCTGAACATGTCAATCGTAATAGGCACCTTTTCAAGAATATCATATACTTTCTGCGATGATATCAGCATCATCACTCTCAGTATTTCTGGAAGGCTGAATGAAAACCTATTCTAATTGGAAAGACTCTCTGGAACCACATGAAATAAGGAATCAGTTCTCAGCCCTACTGCAAAACTCCTCAGGAAGACAGGTATGAAATTTACTCCACAAGACATTGGCATATTTATACGTCCAATGAAACACCAGAAGTTGTATCTTTGAACAGGCATGGGCAACTTCATTCATGCTACCTCCCTAATTTTCAGAAACACAGAAGTGGCCGCCACTTTGTAAAGGGCTCCAAGGATCTATCCTCGTAATGAGAATACACAGGGTAAGGCGTCACAGACCTCTACAGCTACATAAAAATCATCTAATACTCCTTTCTTAAATATACCAAAATGACCACATCACTGCTTCACAGAATGTGGGACAGGCAAGCAAGCAACAGCAGCCCAGTGAAGAACTGCCACATGTGCCTCCTCCTTTCTTTAGGGAGGGAAAAAAGCTATCAAATAGTTCCCACACTTGAAGGGAAATAAATGGAGGCACTCAGCTAACAGGTTTACTAGGCAAAGAGTAAGTCAGCAATCAGGCATAAATGTATAAAACTGTACAGAGTGGTACATTTTACACAATTTTTAAAAATCAAACGCAACAGCTAACATGGTATTAAGGCTGCAGGTGCTAGAGTCAGTCCAATCTGGGTTCAAATCAAGGCTCCACTAATCACTAGCTGTGCACACATATGCAAGTTACTTAACCTCCCAGTTTTCTCAGCTGTAAAATCAGGACAGCAAAAAAACAAGTCTGTCTATACACACTTGTGCTACTATCAAATGTAAAAATATATGCAAAACACCTAGCATAATGACTGGCACTCAGGAGAGTATCTGGGTATTAACTAGATTACTTACTTAACATATTAGACTGCCAGACAAGACTGGCCAAGACTCGTAATTCTCTGACTACAGGAAAAACTGGTATCAGGGTTTAGGAAATCTCCAATTTGAATACAAAAATTCAGAGATTTAATTTTAAGAAATTAAGCTGTTATAATTTACAATATCACTAAAGCAAATATATTGTTTCAGTTAATAAATTAGGCAGCATCTAAAATTTACTATTTTAAATGAATACTTATTTTATTCACAGGAACAGAAACAAACTATAGAGAGCACGTCTTGATACAGTGCTTGGATTGGCCATGAGGTTAAACTGAAAACTTATCTTGTGGTATACGTGGCCAGTAATATGTAAACAGAAAAGACCACTGGAGAGGACGTTTGGCCTAGTGGTTAAGACAGTTAAGACAGTCATGTTCTATATTGCAGTGTCTGGGTTTCCCCCTCTGGCTCCTGACTAAGACAGACCCTAACTGGGTCTCTGCCACCATGTGGGAGACCTGGATACAACTCCTGGCTTCTGGTTCTGGCTCCGGCCCAGCCCAACTCTGTAGGCATCTGGGGAGTAAACCAATATGTGGGAGCCCTCTCCATCTCTCAAATAAATACAAGAAAAAAGAAATAATCCACCACCGACTTCAATTTCAAAAGGCATAACAAATGTACCTGCTTCTTTTAAAGTGCTGCATTTCTGATATATGGATGTCCGCAAGGTGGGTGCCCTTACATTATACAGTCTTATCTTCTCGATCCGAGAGTCAAAGACCCGAAGCAAAGAATCTTTCTCTTCCCACTGAGACATAATTTTATTATCAATAAAGGTGGCAAACATCTGAGTTTCAATAAAGCGTGAAAGAAATGGCAGGTAAGGCTCAGGTTGGTCACATAGAAAGGAAGCCTGTAATGAGACAATCAGCAAATTATTAGTGCAAAGAGGCTATCTCAACTCCACACCATAAACCTGAAAGTTGGCTGCTGCTAAGCTCACTCTCTTTTAATCTTACAATACAAAAAAGCTCATTTAAAATACCTTCAAAAATCCACTTTGCCTTCTTTTCTCCCAAATTAAAAGAATTTAAGTCACTTAGGTTATTAGCACTGATCCTATCTTTCAAAACTGATTTACATTCTGATCCTCATGACCATCATGTAGAAAAGAGGGCACCATTAATCAGAGCTTGGGAATAACTTGCCATCCCATTGTCAGTCATCCACTTTGCTTTCCCAGTGAGCCATAATTTCGTCTGTTCTCCATTCCTAATCTGTGCAACGTACCTCCACACAAGGCAGGGGGATGATTAACTGATGCAATTAAGACACATACACTGGTAGCAATAACCTTAAACAATGACAGCATGGAATCTGTGCTCAGTTCTTCAAACTGAGGTTTTCCCAAGTTCTAACTCCGTTACAGAGTGACAGATGGGGGCTAGCTCAAAATCACACTCCTTTCAGACCTGTGCTGACCCTATCAACCACAGAAAGCACTGTTTGAAAGAAGTAAGATGTAAGCCTCTGGAAAACGCTCAGTAACCCAAACCTTCCTGTTACTAGCTTGTCTGATGCACAGAATGGTTCAGTAAATGGTAATCTGTTCTAAATCAAAAATCATTTTTTTCTGTTGTTCTTTAAGTCCTTGAATGTCTAGGAATTCTAGTTCCAGTTTGGCCCCAGCTTACATTTAGAAGTGAATTACTATTCTGGTTGCTCAGTTAGCTTTGCTTTTCATTTTTTTGAGAGGATGCGGTATGGCAGAAGCCTAAAGCGGACAGATGGAAGGGTAAGTTCTGACAGAAGGTTACTTTTTATTAATACTCAGAAGCTTCTTCCTAGCATAATTATTTTTCATTCTGAAATTCAGAAGGTCTTTTAATAAACTTCCTTATGGAACTCTACTTCTTCAATTTAAATACTTCCTAGTTAGATGTATTTCCATAAATCCAAATAGCCAGAGGAAGGCTCCTCAAAAGGCCTTTTATGGATAAACATCAATCTTACTTTTTATACAGCAATAGCCCTTTTAAATACTGGGGCAGGGGCTGGTGCTGTAGCATAGTGGGTAAAGTTGCCAGCTGTAGTGCTGGCATCCCATGGACAAAGGTTCGAGTCCCAGCTGCTCCAGCTCTCCTTCATGGCCTGGGAAAGCAGTAGAAGATGGCCCAAGTCCTTGGACCCCTGCATCCATATAGGAGACACAGAAGAAGCTCCTGGCTCCTGAGTGGATTGGCTCAGTTCTGGCTGTTTTGGCTTCTTAGGGAGTGAACCAGCAGATGGAGGACCTTCTCTGTCTCTCTTTCTCTGCCTCTGCCTCTCTGTAACTGCCTTTCAAATAAATAAATACATCTTTAAAAAAACTGGGTAAATTTTCTAGCTTTTGATGTTCAGATCTCCAGGGGCTACAATATTTAAAGTTAACACAAAGCCTTAGCTCAGAGGACTAGAAGGTCCTATAACTTTTGCTAGTGAAAAAGACTAAGAATTTTTCGATTCTAAGACTTACGTAATCCAACACAAAATGTTCATTTCTTCAGGGGTTATATGAAAAAAAATCCATTTATACTTTGAAGCTACATAAAGATTAAGAAGGAAGAAAAGTAGGGGCTGGCGCTGTGGTGCAGCAGGTAAAGCTGCCACCTGCAGTGCTGGCATCCTATATGGGCACTGGTTCGAGTCTTGGTTGCTCTACTTCTGATCCAGCTCTCTGCTATGGCCTGGGGAAGCAGTAGAAGATGGCCCGAGTTGGGCCCCTGCACTCGCATGGGAGACCCAGAAGAAGCTCCTGGCTTCAGAACAGCTCAGCTCTGGCCATTATGGCCATTTAGGGAGTGAACCAGTGGATGGAAGACCTCTCTCTCTCTGCCTCTGCCTGTTTCTAACTTGGTCTTTCAAATAAATAAATGTTAAAGAAAAAAAAAAAAAACAAGAAGAAGGAAGAAGGCAATGGGACCCGATTTAGTGAAGAATCTGATTTCCTCAAGGATAATCATGAATGTATACAACATATTCTGAGCTAAATAGGAAAAAGTATGAAAACCGGTTAAGCTAAATGAGAAAGAAACTCAGGAGCAGGACTATGTTTGGAGAAGTGAAGGACTTCTTACCCTTAAAGAAGTTTTCTCAAACATAAGTAACATCAGAAATTAATGGTCCAACTTGATATATTCTCCTCTTCAGAAAAGTCAGCTGATGAAACTAGAAAATCATTTTTTTACATTGCCCACCTTTATATTAACTATTAGCTAATGCTTATTTGTCAGATGCTCCAAGGCTGTAGATTGGCCTCTTGGGAGGATATCAGCCTCCCAGGGGTCTTACATGATACAGAGATGTCACTTTAGGGAAATCCAAAATTCATTCTAACAGCAGTAGCAGAGGCAGGAGCCTGAGCTTTTCCTGTGACCTAAAACAATTAAAACACACCCCCAACTGCTTTCAGATGGAGGAGGATGGGTGACGAAAACCTGGCAGAGCAGACAGTGAACTTCAGAAGAGGCTCCAGCATCAGTGGGACAATCTAACACTGGTGCCATTTTCTGTCTTCCAAAACCGTGGGTACAGTCTAAAGCTTTAGTCATCAAACCTAATGTGGCCATCTTTTCTCTCTTTTAATCCTAAAATGAGATAAAAATCTGGCTTCTCAAATTAACTTGTGACCTTTACTCACATGGATTAAGTTATAACTTCATTACTAGATTAAGACTGAATATAAGAATAAGGATTTCTGGGGCCAGTGTTACGGCATTATAGGCTAAGGCTATGCCTCCAATGCTGGCATTCAACATGGGCACTGGTTCAAGTCCCAGTAGCTCCACTTCCAATCCAGCTCCTCGCTAACGCATCTGGGAAAGCAGGTAAGATGGCCCAGGTCTTCAGACCCCTGGGTCTACATGGGAGACTCAGAAGAAGCTCCAGGCTCCTGGTTCTGGCATGGAAGAACCCTGGCTGTTGTGGCCACTGAGGGTGTGAACTAGCGGATAGAAGACCTCTTGCTCTCTAGCTCTCCCTCTCTTTCTCTAACTCTGCCTTTCAAATAAATGAATGTTTGAAAGAGTAAGGATTTCTTAGAAAAGGAATAGGCCTCCTTCAACAAGACTTCATCATAAGATAAAATAAAACTTTTGCCGGATTCTGTCCCGGTTGCCCCTCTTCCAGGCCAGCTCTCTGCTATGGCCCAGGGGGTGCAGTGGAGGATGGCCTAGGTGCTTGGGCCCTGCACCCGCATGGGAGACCAGGAGAAACACCTGGCTCCTGCCTTCGGATCAGTGTGGTGTGCCGGCCGCGGCGGCCATTGGAGGGTGAACCAATGGCAAAAGGAAGACCTTTCTCTCTGTCTCTCTCTCTCTCACTGTCCACTCTGTCTGTCAAAAAAAAAGGGGGGGGGACCTGAAATAAAGCCCATAATAAAAAAAAAACAACTATGAAATATAAGAGCTGGGCCAATTCAAAACCAGGAGCCTGGAGCTTCTTCCAGGTCTCTCACGTGGGTATAGGGGCCCAAGGACTTGGGTCAACTTCTACTGTTTTCCCAGGCAAGCAGAGAGCTGGACTGGAAGAGGAACAGCCGAGACTTGAACCAGCATCCATATAGTGTGCCAGCACTGCAGGTGGTGGCTTTACCTGCTACACCACAGCATCACCCTCATTTAAACTGTTCCAAAGTACAGAAAATTTTAAAATGATATGATGGTGACAATTTAATATTCAATACAATGACTAGCTTAATGAACTGGTTGATTTGCGAAAATTCTGCATCTGAAGTGTCAGTAAATAAAATTCTTAATGGGATGTAAGAGAGGAAAAATTTGTGTTTAAAAAATGTATACATGGGGCTGTCATTACAGCACAGCAGACAAAGCCACCACCTTGATGCCAACATCTCATAAGGGCAACGGTTCAAGTCCCAGCTGCTTCACTTTCAATCTAGCTCCCTGCTAACAGCCTGGGAAAACAGCAGAGGATGGCCCAAGTGCTTGGGTCCCTACCACCCATGTGGGAGACCCGGAAAAAGCTCCTGGCTCCTGACTTCAGTCTAGTACATCCCTTGGCATTACGGCCGTTTGGCGAGTGAACCAGCAGATGGGAGACCCCTCTCCCTCTGTAACTCTCTTTTCAAATAAGTAAATAAATCTTAAGAAAAATGTACACACAAGCAGTAACACAGCCCACTAACAACCGTAAGAAGGGGAAGTGTGGTTCTTGTTACTTTGTCAAAGTTCTGCATCTGCTCCCGGTTGGTGAGCCAGGACTCCATGTCCTGGGCAGTCTGAATGACAAAGGCTTCATAATCTGCGAACATCTGGGTGAAGCGGTTGGCGAAGACCTCCCGGAGCTGCACGTTCAGCTGGTAGTCCCTCAGCTCTGCGTCTTCACACTGCAGTTTGGAATCCTTCTCCTTCTCCCCCAGCGAAGAGAGGTCCACCTTCTCCACAGCCACGCCAGTCCGCTTGGCCAGAGCCTGCAGGCGGGCCATGGTTTCGTTGCCCCTCAGGAACTCATACATGCTGATGTTATTAGTGGAGACGTTGCCATTCTTCTTGTCGTTGACCAGGTCTTTCAGAACCAGGTTCTTCAGTCTGGTGGCGCTCTCACTGCCATGCAGGCTGCCCTCCGGAGGGATCCCAAATTGAAGAAGAACTTCAGAGAGCTCCTGGATAAAATCTACTTTATTGGGGAACTGTGGAAATTCTTCAGGCAACTCTATAAAATGGTTGTCAATATCCACAAAGCACAAATTCGCCTAAAAGTGAAAAAAGAAACACAGAAATTTAAAAATAAAGTTTATGTTCCTAAACATTTTTTTTTAAAGATTTATCCATTTATCTGAAAGGCAGAGTTAAAGAGAGGCAGAGGCAGAGAGAGAGACAAAGAGGTCCTCCATCCACTGGTTCACTCCACAGATGGCTGCAACAGCTGGAGCTGAGCCAACCCAAAGTCAGGAGCCAGGAGTTTCTTTCAGGTCTCCCACGTGGGTGCAGGGGCCCCAGAACTTGAGCTGTTGTCCACCGCTTTCCAAGGCATATTAGCAGGGAGCTGGATCGGAAATAGAGCAGCCAGGACAACAGACCGTGCCCATATGGGCTGCTGGCATGACAGGCAGAGGCTTAAGCTACTATGTCACAGCACCAAGCCCCGAACTCCACTTCTGACCCAGATTCCTGTTAATGTACCTGGGAGGCAGCAGATGAGGGCCTGAGTACCTGGTTTCTTGTCATCCACGTGGGAGACCTCAATGAATGCCTGGCACTTGGCCTTGGCTTGGCCCAGCCCTGTCTGCTGTGAGCATTTGTGGTGTGAACCAATGAATGGAAACCTCTCTGGTTCATGTTAGAGAACAATGGGCAAGCAGAGAAGTCCCACATACTTGCTCTTTCTTTCTGCCTTCCAAATTAAAAATAAACTTTTTTTTTTAAAAAAGCCTCTTTGCCACATTTCCCTATGTTAATATTCTTATACTTTTATATTCTCACATATGAATACTTTTCTCTGGGTTTCAGCAGTTGATTACAATGTAGACAAGATTTCCTAATGTTTGCCAGCCATTAGGCATTCCTGAATGGGTAAAGGTGCCTGTCTCACAGGATCTTACAGACAGACAACACTGGGGAACCTGTTCACTGAACAAGCAGGAACTGTCTCCACCAACTGTTCACTGCTACAACAGTATCTTATGATAAATGCTCAAAATAAGCAACTGTAGTACCCCCAAAGTGGGGGAAGCTGGAAAAGATCAACCCAATTCACAGATAACCCACACATTTCCACTTCACCTCCAAATCAGCTGAAACTCCTGAGAGACAAGCCATAAGACAAAGAGCAGGCAGCAGAGTGGGGGTGGGGGGTGAGGGTCAGACAACTACAGATGACCACAAACCTGCGAGAGTCATCGAGATATTTTTGAGCTGATAAAAAAGGTGACAGAAATCATAGGAAATGGTTTTTGACTGCAGTTTTGGAATTTATTTGGAACAAAAAGACTTGTAAATATTTTTCAGGTAGATATGGAAAATCCAAGAGGTCAGGCGCGTGTATCACAGTCTAATTATCCCTCAGGAACCTGACTGCAGTAGACTTCAAACAGAATTTTACCTTTCATGTCCATCCCCTCTTACTTAATACAAAGGTGGCAGGGAAAGACTGTGCCTCTGATCTGGGGTGGGGGAGCACCACACGTGTAGTCCATCACATAAACCTGCTCCCAAAGTCGTTAATGGCTAAACAAACAGCAAGCGGGGTGGCAGCCAATACACAAACTGTCCTCTGCTTCTGAATGTTAAGATCCTGTGGATGGGAAATGCAAACAGCTGGGGACAGTGAACAAGCAGTGAAGTCCTACATCAAGGTCAACAGAAACTCAAGATTACTCTGGATTCTATGTAAGATAAGCAACAATAAGTACTAGATCTTAACATAACCTTTGAACTGAACCCTTTAGTTCTGCAAAGAAACCCAGGCTCGGGGCTGGCACTGTGGCATAGCAGGTAAAGCTGCCGCCTGCAGTGCTGGCATCCCATATGGAGACCCATTCGAGTCCTAGCTGCTCTATTTCCAATCCAGCTCTCTGCTTCGGCCTGGGAAAGCAGTACGAGATGGCCCAAGGGCCCATGCACCTGCATGGGAGACCCAGAAGAAGCTCCTGGCTCCTGGCTTTGGATTGGCCCAGCTCTGGCCATTGTGGCCAATTGGGGAGTGAACTAGCAGATGGAAGACCTCTCTCTCTCTCTCTGCTTCTCCTTCTCTCTCTGTGTAACTCTGACTTTCAAATAAATAAATAAATAACTCTTTTAAAAAAAATCCAAGTACCTCCAATTAAAAATGAAAATTACTGGGGCCAGCACTGTGGCACAGTCTGCATCTTCTATGGCTGCCAGTTCCAATCCAGCTCCTTGCTAATGTGCCTGGGAAAGCAGCGTAAGACAGCCCAAATACTTGGGCCCTTACACCCACATGGAAGACCTGGAAGAAGCTCCTGGCTCTTGGCTGTGTGGCCCAGACCTAGCCATTGTGGCCATTTGGGGAGTGAACCAGTGGATGGGAGATATCTTTCTCTCTGTATCTCCCCTCCCCCCTATAACTCAGACTTTCAAATAAATAAACAAATCTTAAAAAAAAAAAGATGCCTAAAAGTAACTTCTGTTACTTGAGCAAAGGGTGGAAGGTTAGTTATCTCTTCAACCATGACGCCTTCCTATGTCACTACCCTAGAAACATTCTGATTTTCTCTGCATATTTTTAGTTCTCTCATTTAAAAAAAAAAAAAAAAACACCTGAATCATTATTTAACTGCGAATGTTTTTTTCCTTGCTGGAAGGCAGAAAACACCTCTTCTTTATCCTGATGCCTCCCTAATGAGCCCTAAGGAGATGACCACTTTGGGGAACTGTAACAACTCAGGCCGGAGCAGGAAGGCCCCAGGAATGTGAGTTGGGGGTTGGTGGGGGACGGCGTTCTCCACATTTGTTTAGGAAGTGACTGAGCTTCCAAGGGTCTCAAGCTGAGTTATCATGAGGGCAGGCCAGAGGAGAACATTTAAAACATTCCCAGGTCTTGGGGCAAGAGATGACAAAAAACAACAGCACCAACAGTTCTGTTGGGTTTTCCTCGGGAGTGTCTGTGGGCTGCAGGCCACGAAGGTGGCAAGGTCGGCACAGAGCCAGGCCGCACGCAGTGCTCTGTCTCTGCAGCTGTTCTCCTCTTAACACATTCCCTAAACAACTCAACGAGGAACGGCTGCTTGACCCAGCAGTGTGGAATCAGGGAGAAAGGAGTGGGCGCCTAGGCACAGATGTGTGCAGTTACGTTAGTTACCTAACACCCAGACTCATGCCTTGCTAAAACAATCATGTTGTGCACTTGTTCTTCTTTGCAACTATCTCAGCAGCTCTGTCACTGTTTTTAGTCATAATCTCACTTGAGAGATTTCAGGGACAGGGAGAAGCATTACTAGGCAGTGCATTTAAGTCACTTTTTAAAAAGGGCGACTTTTACACCAACTTCCTCCCCAAAATTACAGGAAGCAGATTATTCCACCTCATTGTAAAATGATCCCATAGCAAAGCAATGCACTGTTAGCCTTTTCTTCTACAACAATGATGTCTTAATTCATACTTTCCATATATGAGCACTGGTATTTTCACAGGTGACTCAGGCCACTGCCTATTATCTTACTCTATGAATAGATGGGCCTATGTATTCATTAAATGGTGATCTCATGACGGACAAAATAGGAACGTGTAGGCATCACTGCAAGGCTTTTAGTATTTCCAGCTTCTCTTTGGAATCAGAGGACACACACTGATGTAAGTCAGAAATGCTTCCCAACGCCCAGTGTATCTGGTGACATTTAAAAATTTCTTGCCAATTATTACCTATGCAAAATGGAATCATTTATACATCTAAACAGTCTTTTATTACTTGATTAACATACAAAATAGATCAGACACTCAAACTAAAATGTCAGTTACCACTTTTTTAAAAATTTATTTATTTATTTATTTGAACATCAGAATTACAGAGAGAGACGGAGAGACAGAGACAAAGAGAGATCTTCTATCCCCTGGTTCACTCCCTATGGACGGTCGCAACTGGACTGGGCCAGAAGGAAGCCAGGAGCCAGGAGCATCCAGGTCTCCTATGTGGGCACAGGGGCTCAAGCGCCTACGCCATCCTCTACCGATTTTCCAGGAGCGTCAGCAGGGACTTGGACAGAAAGTGGAGCAATCAGTGCACACACCAGCACCCATATGGGATGCCGGCATTGCTTCCAGCAGCTTTACCTGCTCTGTCACCGCCCCCATTATTAACACTTTAAAACACCGGCCCCACTATTAACACTTTAAAATAAAATGCAACTGAGTGGCTGGCATCATGGTGCAGCAGATTAAACTGTCACCTGCGAGGCTGGCTCCCGTACAGACGCCAGTTCAAGCTGCTTTATTCCGATCCAGCTCCCTGCCAATGGTCTGAGAAAGCAGTGGAAGATGGTTCAAATCTTTGGGCCTCTGCACCTACATGGGAGATTCAGATGGAGTTTCAGGTTCCTGGCCCAGACCTGGCCTTTATGGCCATTTGGGCACTAAACCAGTAGATGGGAGATATCTCTCTGTCTCTCCCTCTCTGTCACTGTGCCTTTCAAATAAATAAATATTTGGTTAATAATGCAACTGACTAGTTTATTTTAATTTCCTTCAAAATTTAAAGGATTTACTTCTTTGAATCAACAAGACACTATATTAATTTAATCAAAGAGGAAAAAAAGAAAAACCACGGGGGCTGGAGCCGTAGTGCTCTAGGTTAATCCTCCGCCTGTGGCGCCGGCAGCCCATATGGGCGCCGGTTCTAGTCCCAGCTGCTCTTCTTCCAGTCCAGCTATCTGCTGTGACCTGGGAAACCAGTAGAAGATGGTCCAAGTCCTTGGGTCCCTGCACCCACATGGAAGACCAGGAAGAAGTACCTGGCTCTTGGCTTCAGATCAATGGAGCTCCAGTTGTTGTGGCCATTTGGGGAGTAAACCACTGGAAGGAAGACCTTTCTCTCTGTCTCTCTCACTGTCTGTAACTCTACTTGTCAAATAAATAAATAAAAATCTTAAAAAAAAAAAAAAAGAAAAACCAGGGAATTGAGAAAAGAGGTAAAATAGGAAAAAGCAAAAAATAGACCTAGGTCCAAAGAACAGTTTGCATGTTTTTGTTTTTGAAGATTTATTTAATTATTTGAAAGGCAGAGTTATAGAGTCAGGGAGACAGAGTGATCTTCCATCTGCTGGTTCATTCCCCAGATGAGCCTGGAACTGCATTTGGGCCTTCCATGTGGGTACAGGTGATATGGGATAGCTATATTAGGATCATGATCTGGAAGCCACACCTCCCCTGCCCTGTAATCCTATCCACCCACCTGTCAATCAGATGACCTCTTCCCCAGGATATACCTCCCCTTACCTGGAGGCATAGTTTGTAACCACACCCCTTTTCTAAGCTCATAATAAGCCTGATAAACGGGGAGGGGCCTCTCTCTCTCTCCCTCTCTACAACACAGGGGCCCAAGTACTTGGGCCAGCAACACTACTTTCCCAGGCACCTCAATAGGGAGCTGGATCAAATCAGAGTAGTCAGGACACAAACTGCTGCTCATACAGGACACTGGGACACTGGGAATGCAAGAGGAAGCTTAACCCACTGTGTTACAACGAAGGCCCCTGCCTATGTATTTCATATGACCCATATCAAGCTATTTTCCTCTCAACAGAAATGCTAATTTGGTAGTGAAGTAGGCAGGCATACAGGTTAAAATCGATTAGGTTGGTGAGCTGGAAGACCACACCTTCACCATGCCCCTGTGCAACCTCACTCCTTACCTGATACCTTTGCCATGTCCTTGTGTGACCTCATGCCCCTACCCGGCCACACCTGGGTGCCCACCAGCCAATCAGGTTAATTAACCACTCCCCTTTGGAAGTGGGTTAAAAGCCTGGGACATGGCGTATCCTGCCCTTCTCTTCTTTGCCCTGGCCTCTAGGCAGGAGGGGGCTGGCTGTAGCCCTGCACCTCCAGGGAAGCCACCTGCCCTAGGCTTCCTGGTCTAGATGCTCTTCAACGTGGCTAGTTCTTGGTGCTCGGTATGAATCCAGATTTACCCCTCTTTCTTAGATAAAGCTCTCACTCTCCTATGCATCTTTCACACTAAATAAAAGCTTAAAATGTACCATGCTGCCTCATTTATTTTTGCTAGTATTTAGAATTCTTCTCTAAATATCAGGCAAGAACCCTCTCAGGCTTATTAATATTGGAGATTTCTTAATAAGCATTTGGTGATATCGAATGGCACCCCAAATTCCGGTAACATGTGGCACTCCAGATGGCGCTTCTGGGGATTTTTTTTTTTTTTTTTTTGACAGGCAGAGTGGACAGTGAGAGAGAGAGACAGAGAGAAAGGTCTTCCCTCCGTTGGTTCACCCCCCAAATGGCTGCTACTGCTGGTGTGCTGTGCCGATCCGAAGCCAGATCTCCCATGCGGGTGCAGGGCCCAAACACTTGGGCCACCCTCCACTGCCTTCCCGGGCCACAGCAGAGAGCTGGCCTGGAAGAGGAGCAACAGGGACAGAATCCGGCACCCCAACCGGGACTAGAACCCGGGGTGCTGGCGCCACAGGCGGAGGATTAGCCTATTGAACCACATCGCTGGCGCTTCTGGGGAATTTTAAGGGGCCACATTTTTGTATAGATTTTAGGGGGTCATTTCCAATATCAGTAGGGAAAGGTTCATCAGAATAAAAGCAAAGAATAAAAGAGTATTGGACCATTACTGGATAGAATGGCTATAGCATAATGTGTTACTTTAAATTCACTTATTAAAATAAGAACAAATAAAACTGAGGCTCAGTGTGAGGGATCTTATTAAAGAAAGTGCCAATTAAGTAGATAATAATAAAATGTAATTAACCATTTTATGTTTTTAATAGGCCATGGATGCTCATCAATATTTCATTTCAAAAGCTTTACAATGCAATTTGAGTACCATTAATAGCAGCTGAAAATCAGATTAAAATGTTTACAAGAATTCTTGTTTATTTTCTTAAACACATGAAAACAAAACACACAGAAAACATTAAGGTGGCATAAAAACCAGAGGTTAACATTTTTATCTCAACCACCAAGCCAAGCTGACCTTTTGAACAGGCTGATAACTGGCAAACAGGGACTACTAATGCATCTGATGTTTCCATTGTCCCTAGCTTGCTGGAAGGTATTACTTCTCATTGGATGCAGGTCAAACATCAAATTCATCTCAATGAACAAACGACTTTTAAAAGATAGTAGAACGTGGGCCATATCGTTTAAAAACAAAACTTACAACATGGATGTGGAGAAGAAATGAAACATCATTAGCACAACAATGCACTGAGCTAATGCCATTACTGCTCTGTCTTTACAGATTTATAGCTGTGCAAATCTGCCACCGTCCTACTGTGGCTGCCCCTCCCCCCATCTACTTCAGAGGCAGAGAACTCCCATCTGTGCCTCATTCCCCAAACGCCCAAGAGGGTGGGGGAGGGGATCCAAAGCTGGCAACTCAATACCGGCAGCCTATGCCAGTGGCACGACCCCACCACTTAAGCCATCACTTACGCCTCCCAGAGTCTGCACTGGTTGGAAGCTAGAGTCAGGAGCTGGAAATAAATTCAGATACTTTGATGTAGACTGTGTGGGCTTCTCACTGCTGAACTGTCTTGTTTGAACCACGTTTCATTAATGACCCTGTAATAGTAACCATCAGGACCCCCAATCCGCATTCTGTGGTACTCCTGTCCTCCATCATACTTGGGAGGCTGGGTAAAGTCACAGAGATGCAGCTTGGACAAAGATAACGCTACCCAACAAACGGAGACGTGACCAAAGCCAACACACAGCACCTGCTTCAAGACTTCATCATCCAGTGCACGATTACCTCTTGAGGCAGCTCTAGTTTAGAACGGTCAGTTCCTTCTTTCGACTGAAGGCCCATCAGATACGGGACGGGGGCGTCAAGGAAATGCAGGAGAGACGCGGGGAGAATGGGCACGTACACGTGCTGCCACTGAAACGGGAACAGAAGTGTGGTGATGCCTTCCGCCACCGTCATCAGGCGTTGATAATCTGCACAGAGTAAGAGAACAGAGGGGAAGAATCCGAGTAAAACGGTAATTGCTGCAGTAAGCTCGGAAATACCTATTTCAAGGGAAAAAATTCTGCCTTAAAAATAAACAAGACATTTCTTCATGACCACGCAAAACCCAGGTCAGTTTATTCCACCATAATTAAAGAGTTTCACTTTATGGTTTTCAAGGAGCATGGGTAGGTGGGAAACATCACCACACTCTGTTTCTTAAAATCACTAGCATGTGAACTCACATCCCAAGGGTGAAGGAATCAAAAGCTATTAAAACTACTTTGGCAACACAGTATACGGCTACTGATCACTTTCTGTATACGTGTATACTTACATACACAGCCCCCGACTCCACGGCTGTTTATTCTTGCATATGTGACCATGTCAATAGCCTTGGGTAAAGTGATAATGTATATTCATAATTTTATTTATTTGAAAGCCAGAGAGACAGAGATCTATTTGTGATTTACTCCCCAAATGCTTGCAACTGCTGGAGTTGGGCTGGCCAAAACCAAGAACTGGGAATTCAATCTGCTTCTCCCATAAGGACAGCAGGGACCCAAGTACTTGGGCTACCACTGCTGCTTCCCAGGGTGTACATGGGCAGGAAGCTGGAATTGGGAGTGGAGCTTAGAATCAAAGCCAGGCAATCTCAACACAGCATCTTAATCGCTAGGCTAAATACCTGGCAGCATCATGCTTACTTTAGCCATCATTTTGTGGGCGCAAGAAATCAGGAGATAGGTACAATCAGCCACACTTAGGATATTTAGCCCTTACTACACAGTGTAACACCTCAGGATAAAGACAGCTATCTAGCCAGCGCCATGGCTCACTAGGCTAATCCTCCTGCCTTGCGGCGCCGGCACACTGGGTTCTAGTCCCGGTCGGATTCTGTCCCGGTTGCCCCTCTTCCAGGCCAGCTCTCTGCCGTGGCCCAGGAGTGCAGTGGAGGATGGCCCAAGTCCTTGGGCCCTGCACCCCATGGGAGACCAGGAGAAGCACCTGGCTCCTGCCATCGGATCAGCGTGGTGCGCCGGCCGCAGCGGCCATTGGAGGGTGAACTAACGGCAAAAGGAAGACCTTTCTCTCTGTCTCTCACTGTCCACTCTGCCTGTCAAAAAAAAAAAAGACAGCTATCAAGGAATTACAGTTGCTTTTGTTGTTCTATCTTGTTTACATGAACTAAGTCATTAAAACTAAAAACTGTCCACAACATTAAAGTGCTCTTTTAAACCAGTCTGCCGTGGATGTTTTATACATGCGTATGCCTACAACTCCTATTTAAACTCTTAAGGCAGATATATTAGAATCCAGTTTTAAAAAATTTTAAATTTGAAAGAGTACTATGATGCAGATATCATATATATAAACTATCAGGGCAGAACCCTGCAATCAAATAGATCAGTTTTCTACAGCAATTTGCACAGGTGACCCAGTCGTGAAGAAAATCAAAGAACATAAACAGTCACTTCAGATCAATCCGGTCTGTTTTTGTTTTGCTGATAAATAAGTTACAAAAACAACGCTTGGTTTTCAGAATTTTTTGGATTTGAGAAAGGAAGATAATGCATGTGGATTTGTAAGAATGCTCTCACAGAACACAATGTACGCTAACAGTACAGTCTGGAGCAGGAAGTGTTGGGGTAAATGGTTCTCAAAGAGGTTAAGGAGAACGATGAGCTGCAACTTGGTTCACATCAACTCAGAGAACGTTTCTGCATAAAACAGAATATTCCCCATCAAAAAATTTAATGTCATGTTTCCATTTTTATTTCTTTAAAAGATTTATTTATTTTTATTTGAAAGGCAGAGTGAATGAGAGAGAGCAAGAGACAGAGACGGAGACAGCGAGAGCAAGAGTGACCGCGAGGGTGAGACATCTTTCATCTTCTGGTTCACTCTCCAAATGCCTGTAACAGCTGGTGCTGACTGGGCCGAAGCCTGGAGGCCAGAAAAGTCATGTCTCCCACACAGGTGGCAAGAACCCAAGCACTTGGGCCGCCATCTGCTGCCTCTCAGGCATATCAGCAAGAAGATGACCAGAAGCACGGAGTAGCTGAGACTTGAATTGGCGCTCCAATGTGGAAGGCAGCACCCAAAGGCAGCTTAACCCACTGTGCCACAATGCCCGCCCAGAAAGCACATTTTATAACATGTGCACCCTTACTGCACAGCAGACTATGTCCACAAAAACACCTACTCTGCTGTGGGTCAGCGCTGCCAGCCCAATGTAAGAAAAGCAGTCCGTTTCAGGTCAAATCTATGTACCAATCTCCTGTGAGATTTCCAACAAGGATTTTCGTCCCTCCCCCTCCCCCCCTCCCTTTCTTTCATGATTTATTTATCTGAAAGGCAGAGTAACACAGAAATGGCTGAAGCCAGGAGTCAAGAACTCCATTCAGGTCCCCCATGGGGATGGCGGGGACTCAAGCACTTCGGCTGTCATCAGGTGCCTCCCGGATGCATTAGCACAGAGCTAGAAATGGAAGCAGAGTAGCAAGGACTTGACTGGTGCTCTGAAAGGGGATGTGAGCGTTCCAAGCAGTGGCTTAACCTGCTGTGCCAAAATGCCTGACCCGTGTTGTAATCTTTTTTAAAGATATATTTATTTATTTGAAAGAGTTACACAGAGAGAGGAGAGGCAAAGAGAGAGAGAGGTCTTCCATCCGCAACTGGCTGCAATGGCTGGAGCTTCGCCAATCCGAAGCCAGGAGCCAGGAGCTTCTTCTGGGTCTCCCACGTGGGTGCAGGAGCCCAAGGACTTGGGCCATCCTCCACTGATTTCCCAGGCCACAGCAGTGAGCTGGATCAGAAGTGGAGCAGCCAGGTCTCGAACCAGCGCCTATATGGGATGCAGGTGCCCCAGGCCAGGGAGTTAACCTAATGTACCACAGAGCCAGCCCATGTTGTAATTTTAAAGGATCATCTTTAATATTTTAAGTCTGCAACAGAATTTTGGTAATGAATCATCCACTATTTATAATCCAAGGGATCTTAAAGTTTTCCTTATGTGATTCATTAAGAACTCAAATTTTAGGTAAATCTCGTTCAAAAGGATACTTCTGAAACAAGCACCAGGAGGGCAGGGGTCAGTCAGCTGAGCACAAAAAGCTGACCCACCCAATGGCCTGGCGTGGATATGAGCACACACAGAAGCATACAAACACGCTCACAAAATGCACACACAGAGGGGATGAGCTGAGGCACCCAGGAGAAGCAGGTCCTCTGTGAAGGTGAGGGGAGGGGTCTAAGAAGAGCAGACAGTGACACTCTCCACTGTCACTCTTCACAGCTGTCACTGGCAGATGGAGGAAGCGTGGGAGCAGGGGAGGGAGACTGACCTGAAACCCAGAGTCTGCTGGCTGCCCCAGGTTCAGGAGCAGCACTCAGCTCAGAGCTAAGTACTGTTCTGCACAGCACCAGGCTACCTTACATCACCTGCCCCTTGCTGGGACTTCCTAAGGGCACAGGGACAGCTGTTTTCATCTCACTGCACCACAAAACAGAGCCTAGTCTATAGCCAGTGCTGACTAAACTTACTGATGTTTCTAACTGGAGTACTTTTATGTGACAAAGAACAAAAAAATCATTAGTACAAAGACAGGCCCATAACTAACTATAAAAAGATCAAATCCAGAAAAAAAGTCCTTAAATTCAGTTCTATGGCCATCCATTTCTTCTTTTTACTTTTTATATTTATGAAATACAAATACATTTTATATTTATTTACTATTTAATTTGAAAGGCAGAGCAAGAGAGACAAGGAGAAAGAGTGAGAGAGAGTGAGAAATTTTCCATCTACTAGTTCACTCCCCAAATGCCTGCCAACAGCTGAAGCCAGGAGCCAGAAGCTCAATCTAGGTGTTCCATGTGGGTGTCAGGGACCCAGGTACTTGAGCCATCACCTGCTACCTCCCAGGGTGTATGTCAGCAGGAAGCTGCTATATTAAAGCAAAGCTGGAACTCCAATCTCGGCATCCCAATACTGGGATGCAACAAGGAAATGCCAACAAAGACCTTAACTGCTGAGCCAAACACCCACCACATGGCCATTCACCTCAATCAAGGGCTGGGGGATTTTTTTTTCCGGTAACTTCAGCGTCTAGCATATAATGAAGACTCAAACAGAATTTCTGATAAATAAATGAATTAGTAGAATAAGAATATATAGTTTTGCTGGTATCCAGAATTCAGATACTAGCTTACATTTTGTCCACATAAAATTAAAGAACTACTAATGTTTCTGTAAGAGAAAATGAGGTAAGAAACTGTTGATCGAAAATAATCACATTTCTTGGGAAACTCATATTATTCAGTTAATTATGTGCATGTCCAGACACATTACATGGAAAATCCAAATACATGTACTGAACCATGGTTATTGTTCCTCATGCTGAGAACTGTTACTAAGTGACTCATTCCTACTACACGTAAGTAGATCTTACAGGGATCAGAACTGTGTTTCGAAACAAAAACACATTTCAATATTTTAACCCTTCCATATTAAAATCTAAGTATTTTAACAGTGAAATACAATTCAGGTCTCCCACGGCCCTTCAGAATGAGAAAGGACCCTCAGAACCTTTCACAGCTTTCTGGGAGCGACTAGAGATGAAAATGCCTGGTGTTGGGACACCAGGAAGGCATATTCCCCAGGTTCCTCCTGGAGTCTGAGCCCAGCGACAACTCATTTCACTTACATGTTTCATCTTCTGATCATCTTAAAAACATACAGTATGTCCCATGTGGATGAGCTATTACAAAAACAATTAGACTATTCATGTCTCTATTTGCTAACCTTTTAAAATTGTTAGAGTTTTTATGATGAAGTTTTATTGTCATAAAAATAGTTATATAAATAAACCATTATCAGAGAGTTTTTTGGTACTGTTAATTAAAGATTAGCTTTTCTAAGATAATTGCTTCTTTAAAAAGTCAATGTTTCTAACTCAATTTCTTTTTAAAACACACAATTATTTAAAAG